AATCGGTTAGGCTTTAGATCACCTCTAATAATTACGACAAATCGAATAAACTCCTCATTCAGATTTCTTACTTCATCATTCTCTCAACCTTCATTACTTTTAACAACACTCTTTAGTTTTTGGTTATTACTTATTAGGTAATGTATAAACTAATATCCCATTCTAATGTTATCCCAATTCACATAATTCAATCTGGTGCAAAAATTCACTAAATGAAAACAAACAGCCCACGTTGATTGTCAAAATAAACAACAAATAAGCCAAGGACAAAATTTTCCCACGTAATTCACTTACCCAGGTGAAAAGGGTTAGGGATCAACTCTAAAACGCTAGCGCTTCTTCCAGTTGTGGTTGTCGTTTCCCACGCCGGCCACCACTGACCACTAATCACATCTAATCGCCAATCAACGAACGGCATGAACAGGGAAAGACGGAGTATTTCAATCACGTTAGGAAAGACCCAAAGCAGGCCGAGAGCCCATTTCGTGTATCTGTGGACTGGAGATTGAAGACAGAACTAACTACGGACAATAAAACGAACAACACCAATTAATTGGTGAAAAATGACAAAACCAACATTCCGAAAATTAATATCAGAGTAGCATTTTCAAAATGGTAGAAAGTGTTATCAAATAAAAAACAAAATGGGAGAAAGTGCTATAAAAAAGGAAAAAAGTGAACTCATGAATCTCCATTATCATACCAATATTATATAGAGGTTCCCGTTAGAATATCTTTCATTCACAATTTCCAGCGCTCTGAGAAATTGTAGGAAGGATAATTTTGTCATATTAAAAGTAAAAAAAATTGATGAATAAATGTAAGACAAAAAATCATCCAGCATCCCCTAATCCTGACATAAATAAAACTTTGTCGAGATAAGTTTATGTTTCTAGGAATGACAATGACACTTCTTACATTTTAATATTATTAATTAATGGAATGTATTTTTAAAAATTATTAGCAGAATATACTTTTAGTAAGGACACTTCTTTCATTGATGGGTTTATGCAACATATTAAAATGTTTACGAGAGTTTGCAAATTTAATTTACATAATAAATTGTTAAAATCAATGATTGTGAAACAGTATCGGAAGTTATACCAAAAAAATTAGTAGTAGGATAGTTGTATTAAAACCATAATTGAACCGTGGTTCAACCACTGCGTACCGCCAAAACCACCTAGAATTTGGGATCCGGTTTTTCTGGTCCGACCTTCGAGTATAGTAGACTTTCTAAAACATTGGTTTTAAGTAATCAACCTTTTATTCAGGAGGTACAACTTTTCATATGCCCGAGATTAGTTTATGTTTTTAGGAATGACAATGACACTTCTTACATTTTAATATTATTAATTAACAGAATGTATTTTTAAAAATTATTAGCATAATATACATTTAGTAAGGACACTTCTTTCATTTATAGGTTTATGCAACATATTAAAATGTTTACGAGAGTTTGTAAATTTAATTTACATAATAAATTGTTAAAATTAATGATTGTGAAACGGTACCGAAAGTTATACCGGAAAAGTTTGTTGTAGGATTGTTGTATTAAAACCATAATTGAACCGTGGTTCAACCACTTCGTGCCGCCAAAACCAACTATAATTTGGGATCCGGTATTTCTGGTCCGACCTTCGAGTATAGTAGACTTTCTAAAATATTGGTTTTAAGTAATCAACCTTTTATTCAGGAGGTACAACTTTTCATATGCCCACAATATGTCATTTTCGCAAATGTTGGTGATCCTCTCATCTTGATCGGAATATCTATATCTTAACATAATAGTAAAAGAGATATATTATTACTTTATTAGTGCATCTATTAGCTAATAAATTAATATTTGTTAATTAATGGACAACAAAATTCACAAATGAAAACCCGTCTCATTTGTTGCTACCTTGTTGTTGATCAATCTACAAATTTTGGAACTATTGACTTCGAGTCAAGTGAGAATCATGTAATTTGGATATATGTATTTTTGTGTGTGTAATAAGTGAGGAGTTTTAAAAATAAAATGGTTTACAATCTTATTATTTTTGCAATAAAAGTGATGTATATGCACCATATCCTCTAATCGAGAGTCAAAGCTGAAACTCAACCACCAATCAATATCAAAACATTGCAAGAGCTCAATGAATTTGAACGAGGAATATAAAGGAGGTACATATAAGTTGCAATCTAAAGATCATTAACAATAAAATGCTAACTCTTGTATTCAGCCCGCCGCCGTGTAAGAGTTCCCCCTTCTACAAATAGTTAAAAACAAAATTTCCATTACCCTCCATTTGGCTAGCATTTTATAGTTTATATACGATAGCCATGAATATATTATTGATTGCTGATAAAGTTTGGTGCTCTGTCAATAAAAAAAGTTATTGGTGCGTATTAATATGTGCAAAGTTTTATACGCTATTATAAATTATTATAATATTTAAAATTTTGATATCAATAATAAAATTTGATAAACATATAATTTAAAAATAAAAATAAAATAATAAATTATCAGTTTAATTCCTTAAAATAAGTGTAATAAATATGTTATATATGTCCAACCACGCGACATATCATCTTACAGGTATTACTTTTGGTTTAAAGATTGCATGGTTTAATTAGAGTTGTAAGTTTCAATTCAAGTAGAGAAAATGTATTATGATGAAGACAACTTTATGAAGCAGAACTATTACTCAATTCAATAAGATTGTTGATAAATATGTTCATCTTAGTCATTTGCCCATTTCACTTTTTTTGTCTCTGTTTGTCCATCACTATTATCCTATTGCAACCGGCCAACGGGCCGGGGTACAATCTAGTAATACTTGTAGATTAAGATTTGGAGTCGGATTAGGTGCTAACTCCTAATGGGGTTAGCACCATACTAACTCCTAATGGGGTTAGCACCATACTAACTAAAGGATAATTTAGTAAATATACCACCAAACCCTAATATAAATACCAATTTTTTTCCCAGCCGCCCATCCCTCTCACTCTCTCTCTCCCTCTAAAAAATTCAGAGCCCCTTCATCGATTCTCCTTCCGGTCGCCTCTCTGATCTCCGACGATTCTCCTTCCGGTCGACTACGGCTTCATCAAACTTAGCCGTGCCGGCCTCAGCCTCCCCGGCAACGGACTCACCATCGCCCGCAACCGCTTCGCCCGCAACCGCCTCGACATCGCCAACCGCCTCGCCATTGCTTGTACGCGTTCACTGCCATCAAGATCTGGTTCTTAATCCCCCATCGCCTGTACGCGTTCACCGCCTGTACTGGTTATACTAAACAAATACAAAACGAATTCCCCCAAGATCTGGTTCTTTATCCCTTAAAGAAAGATGCTTTATTATTTGATTAGTAGTCATTTTGGGTTAGTAGTGATTGTGGAGTTGTGATTTTCATATGTATTAGCAGTTCAGTAGTCATATTTGTACGGTAGTAGTGTTTTTTCTGTGATGTGTAGTTATTCCAGTAGTGATTTACTCCTACCTAATCGTATTAGTAGTGATTATGTTATCATTACTTTCTAAAGTTCACCCATCATGAGTAACTTAAAATTTCTAAATCACTACTAATTACAAATAAATCACTACGAGAACAAATAAAATTGCTAATACAACCACCAAAATCACTACCAGTGAATGTAGCAGTAGTGTACGGTACTATTTTTCAGTCCTACTACTAAAAGGAAGATAAAATATTTTAAGATTTAATTTATTAATTAAATTAATTTTTTGATATACCGAATATGCCCCTCCTTATTCTCCAGCATCATATTTTAATTAAAAATAATAAATAGTGATTATAGTGGTTAGTATGGTGCTAACTCCAATAAAGTTAGCACTCTAACCCGTCCCTTAGGGCCCGTTTAGTATTGTTGCTTGTTTTTGTTTCCTGTTGTGTTTTAAGAAATTTGGAAAACCAAGAAAAAAATCGTGTTTAGTTGGGTTTTTATTTGTTGTTGTGAATCAGAGTTGCACAACAAGGCCCAAATATGAGAAACAACAATTTATAGCTTTGGATCTGATTCTAAAACATGTTGCACATGGGATTCCTACTGGTCGGGCGCTTGATTTCATTAAAACAGACCAGTTTTCGAATCCCCACAGAAGCAATTTTTTTTTTTTACACATACCACCCCCAAATCCTACTTACTTTCAGCCGGCCCCAACCCCTCCATTTTCTATCGAACGAGAGGCAGCACTCTCCCCAGCCGACGCCGCCCTCCCTACTCCACCCATAAACGCCGGCCGCCTCCGCCCTCCCGACCCTCCGCCTCCGCCCTCCGCCTCCGCGCCTCCCGACCCTCTGCCTCTGCGCCGCGTTGTACCAGGCTCCTGCTCAACAGCCGCTGTCGAGAGCCCCGCCTGCCCAGCCGCTACCACTCCCTTGCCGCCGACTTCATCTTTCCCTCGCGAGCTCTCCTCTCTTCAACGGGCACAGAGCTGACGCTCACTCTTCCGCGCGACAACACAGCCGGTCACTCGTCCCTCGCCCTGGCCCGCCCCCTCCGTCCTCTCCATCGCACTCTTTGCTCCATCGATCGAATACACGGCTTTACCTTCTCAGGTGGAGTTGTATTGGCCGCGGATGCCGGAGGAGGAGGAGGAGTCGCCGCTCACCAGAGATTAAAGCCGACAAATTATTTCCTGTTGATCCATTTGTTGCTCCAGGAAAACCATCTTCCAATTCTTCAGAATAGTTCTTTCGATTGAAGCATATCATTTTGAGAAATGTCTTTTGATCCCAGCAGCTCAATCCATGTTTCCTTTGCTGTATATTGAGAAATGTTCTTATGATTTTTCGTTATAAAGAACTAAACACATTTCTGTTTTTTGTTGTCGATTTCTATGATATGTCATAATTACCAACTAAACATGTTTTTTCTATTTTTATGTTGTTGTGGTTTCTCTTGCGTTACACAACCATACTACAACCACAACAACAACAAAACTATACTAAACGGGCCCTTAAGATTTAGATCCGTGATTTTTTTTTTTACAACCAAATCTGATTATCTTATTCTACCAAAAAAAATCTGATCATCTTATTAATGGGCTAAAGAGTCTGTAGTCAAGATAGACATTAGAAAAATAGGGGGCCTTTGGGCCCAAATTTCCACAGCATCCCGCCTAGCGAAACTCCACTGAATGGCCCAACTCGTTGGGATTCACTCGCCAACTCTGCCAGCAAAGGCCCGAACTCTAGTTTCCTCTGCTTCGGGCTCCACAACCCCAGGAACACCGTTTGGCAATTTGTTTCGAGGATTGTATGGTGAAAGACCTTGCATTTTCATCAGACAGAGACCAAAACCAATGGCTCGGATCTCTGTAATCGCCGGCGGCCATTGGATTCATTCTCGCCGAACTGCCGCCCAGAGGAAGTTGTCGTTGTCATCCCGCACCACCAGCCCATATCCCGTTCCTTGACCCGTCAGAACCGCTGCATCCACGTTCATTTTCACCCACCCCGTGGACCCTGCGACACGAATGGCGCCAAGTAACCCTCAAGCCTCCGAATCCAATCCAAGTGCCTCTCTTCCGTCTCAACTCCATTCCCATCCCAGTAAGCGTAGTACTGAATCATGTACACGTTGCCAGCTCTATGCGGGTACGGGATGCTGAATTCCGGAACTTCACTCATCTTCCCTCCATGAGCTTCTAACTGCAGAACGCCTTCCCCCGGCCCAACCTCGGCCAGGATTCTCCAAATCCCGTCCACAGCATCTTCAGGGAGAGGCTCCTGCACAAAATCGGACTTCGATTTGACTTTCCTCGCCGGCTCCCCTGTCCTTCTGAGGAGAGTCTCAACCGGTTCGGACCCAAGAAAAAACAGCACCGAATCGATCCAGCTCATTTCACTGCAGTCTCCCTCTGAGAGACCAAGCTCTGGAAATTTTTCTTCAAACAGGGGAAGCAGAGTTTTGATTTCCCCTAGATATAAACCTTGAAACGACGCCGTTTTACTGGATATCGAGACTAGGAAACTGCTCACTTCCTCTGGCAGCTTGTCCGCCGCGTATTGCCACCGGTGGACGAGCTCCGATGCGTTTTCTTCCACCGCTCTGGTTAAATTGAAGACGGTGACGGAAGGCGGGACGGGTAACAGATTGATTTTCCAAGCCGTGACTACTCCAAAAGTATTGCCTCCGCCGCCGCGAATCGCCCAGAACAAATCTTCCCCCATTGAAGCTCTGTCCAAGACTCTGCCCTCGGCGTCAATTAGTATGGCGTCGATTACGTTATCAGCTGCAAGCCCGAACTTCCGCGACAACGCGCCTGATCCTCCTCCGCTGAAATGCCCGCCGACTCCAACTGTGGGCCAAAACCCTGCCGGGAAAGCCAGGACTCTGCTTTTCTGCGAGATTGCGTAGTAGAGCTCGCCTAATGTTGCCCCTGATTGAACCCACGCGGTCCTTGTTTCGAGGTTGACGTCGTGGACTGCGCGGAGCTTGGTCAAGTCGATCATCACGAAGTCATCATTGGAGGGGAAAACAGAGAGGTAGGAGAGGCCTTCCAAGTCGTGGCCGCCGCTGCGGATTCTAAGCGGCAGTTCGTGTTTGCGACAGCAGAGGACGGCGGCTTGGACGTGAGAGTCGTACTGAGGGATGAAGATGGCCAGAGGTTTGTGGATTGTGCTTGTGTCGTTGAATCTGGGATTCATGATCGAGGATTGGAGAACGGATGTGTAGGAAGCGTCGCCGGGAGTGTAGATTAGCTCAGAAATTGAGGGGGCGGTGGAGGTTTTGGAGGAGTAGTGATCATGAACGCACTGGACAAAATCTTGATTGCCAGCAGCCCAAGTGGGCGCCCAGAGTTGCAGGACCAAGACAAGTAGAACCGACGGCATGATGATCCCGTGGAATTTTCTCGCTTGCCGGCGACGATCTATCGTGTATTGAAAATCGATTTAATGTTATGCCCACTATGTGAATTCTGAATGGCAGAATTGAGGTGTTTGATCAAACGAACATCTATCTCTTCTTTTTTATGGGAAAGAATGCTGAACGTGTTACCGACCATCATCGCTCATCTATCTGGTTGCTGGCACGGGTTATAACCACCCATAAGTTCAGTTCATGTCATTAAACCAACGATATCGGAAGTCGGATAATTGGAAAAAGGGTTTGGTTTTTAAACTTACGGAATGGAAAGTCATCATTAAGATTTGATGGGTAGTATCTGGGAGCCTGGAAGGCTATATTTTGCACCATAGAAACCATCAACAAGCGTCCCAACGTCCCTTCTTCCTTCCTTGTATAACTACTACTACTAGGGCCGAGAATTTGGTCATGATTTTTTGGTCAAATCAGAAATCGGATTGTATTAGGATCTTCATAGTTCGAATACTACTGTTCAATTTGACACCTATGGGCTCTGGTTTCTTATTCTTCTTCACTTTGGGAGAGCTGGTTAGAACCTCATCATCTAAACGAAATTTTTCATTTTGATATGCATCAAGTTATGATCCTTGCTCCGGGGCAAGGCCGAGTCAGATGATCTCGTGGGGATTCTTCGCTCTCGATATTAGAATTTTGAAACTTGTGTATAAACCTTTACGAAATTTGGGAATTACATATTAATTGGATTTTATATACAAGTAATAATAATAATAATAATAATAATAATAATAATAATAAAGTCTAACATGAGAGTTATTATTAATTAGTGCCTCTCACACTCCTCCAAGTGCAAGTGGGGAAGTTCCAAACCCTTCTTTTATCCCACTCTCCATTCTACAACCTTTGTGTTTAGTTATTGTTTGCCAGGTTTTCGTCTATGGTTTTTTGCACAAATCATCGCCTTTGTATTTTATAATTGTTTGCTAGGTTTTCGTCTATGATTTTGTCCACAAATCATCGCCTTTGTGTTTAGTTATTGTTCGCTAGGTTTTCGTCTATGGCTTTTTGCTTTTTGCACAAATCATCGCCTTTGCCCACTATTTTGCAGCTCATCTAGAAATACTGTCGGCGGAATCCTAAGTTGTTCCCCACCACCGTTTCCCAAGGCCGCTACAACGAGTTTTGTATCGGGACCGAGTTTCATCATCTTTCATGTTTTTCTCTTTTTCTTTTTTGTTGAGAATGTTCACAATTGAACCTAATGCCGCTACTGAAAATCTATACCATATCTACTCAATGTTGGCGAGTTTTGTATCGGGATCGACCTAAACGATTTGATCCCGATTTTACAGGTTTTTGGCGACAGCGAGTTTTATCTGTTTTTGTAATTGGCGTGTTGTGTTAGGTGTGAATTTGTCCAAAACTCGGTCCAACCAAGCCAAAGTGAGTTGAACCTGGTGTTGACGAGTTTTGAGTAGATAGCGAGTTTTAGTATTAGTGTTTTTCATTTTGCTTTTTTTTTTGTTTGAGAAAGACAGTTGAACCCAAATCCATAGGTATCCAACTTAATTTGAAAAGATCCAGATGAGCTGTTTCATTCTACAAAAGTTATAGCAGGATCAACTACTAGCCATACAAATTGAAACATTGGCGTCATGAAAGAAGTTTTAACATAAACAATCTCTTCAACGACCATTCTACCTTATGCAAGTTCATCGACCATATGCAATTGTAAATAACAAACATATGAAAAGAATGATTAAAAATGAAATAAGATTACTTTCACTTTTGGTTCAACATTAAAACTATTACTCATTAAAATATTTATTTTTTCTGATACGCGAAGCGATAGCGAGCGGGCTTTTGCTTGTATATATATATATAGGTCAATTAACTTCTTCAATTTGTAAATTCGTATTTGAGGATTTTGTATATATTTTTTTAGGGGTGGGTAACGGGAAACATATATTTGGGTATACTCATACCCGTCCCGTTTTTCGTATTACGAGTACTCAAATACCCATTTTTTAAACGGGATATGATTTGGGATCAATAATTTCTACAATGGGTACCCACGATTTACCTGTTAATACCCGTTAGCAAAAACATCGATTCACCATTCTATGTTAATCTGCCAATTGTTCCAAGTGATCTTTGGATAAAGTCTCGAGATCTGAACGTATTTCCAATTGGTTGGGCAAGTCTTGAAAATTGGGTAAATTTGTTTCACGTTAAAACATGCACAAATCCCCCGTGCAACCAGAATAATAATAAAAACTCTAATCCGGCCTCTCTGACATGCCAACTTGGTGCTGTTAGCGAAAGGTGGATGACGTCTTTTACAAGAGAAGGATACTCTCTGAACGCAGATCATGAGATCAAAATACGGAAGGAAAAGAGAGGGCCTGAACATGCTCCATCCTTGTTAGGGAAGTTCTTTTGCTTGGATGAGTTTCAACAAAGCAGCTAGTCTTTTGAGGAAGGGTTGTGCCTGGAACATTCATAATGGGAAAGGAACTAAATTCTGGTTGGATAATTGGATTTTGCAGGGACCTATCATTGATACAGTGACGCACCCAGTTCCGGACAACGAGAGATCAAGAACGGTGGCCTCTTACTTGGATGAGGAAGGATGTTGGGATGTCAACCACCTCTCACAGTGGATTCCAACGAACATCCTCCAAAAGATTACGTCCGTGATGGTTGATTCGGTGTCACCAGAGTCGAACAACATCTTCTGGACGCCATCGGCAGATGGCCGCTTCTCGACGAAGACGACATATCAACTACTTCAACCCGAGCATATGGACCATAGTGACCCAATCTGGAAAGACATTTGGAAACTTCCAACTCCTGAACGGGTGAGAGGTTTTTTGTGGCTGGTCTCCCTTGGACGGATTGCTACCAATGCTTTGCGCTTTTGCAGGAAATGCAGCGACTCGCTCGCGTGCTACCGGTGCAAGGTTTTGCTGGTCGCGTAGGGTACCAATCAACAGGTAGCAAGATTTCTTCCACCGCGATCATGTAAGTTGGCTTTGCAGTAATCTGAGCAATGTGGACATCATGGAGGCTAGCATGAGCTGGCAAGCTTATATGGCTAATATGGAAGAACATATGTACGACATGCTTTAGCGGGGCTATCAAAGCTTTCTCAGCTCCGACGTTGGCTCATTCGATACAGCAGAAGGCACTATTATGGCACAAGGCGTGGATTGCACCATCGCTAAACCCAGGAAAGCCGCAATTGAGAGCGGGCAGAGTCAAATAGCATATACGATGGAAATCTCCCACTGCAGGATGGCGGAAGTTGAACATCGACGGAGCCTTGGTGGGTAATCTTGGTTCGGCTGGAGCTAGAAGGGTGATCTGGGACGAACAAGGGAGATGGATAGTTGGGATTTTGGAAAAGTTGTGGGCGTTCTACCAAAGACTTAATCTAGCGTGGAAAATTGGATGTGACAACCTTGTGATCAAGTCGGACTCCCAGCTGGCCATCCAGCCAATCAGTAACCGAAGAGACCCTGTTCACCCTATGCTTCTTTAGTTGACGCAATTAAAAGGAAGATTGCGCAACTGTGTTAGAAACTCACATTATGTGGGATTCTCTTAATATTTATGGTAGGATAATTATTAGAAATTTCAATAACTTGGGGGTTAAGTTTAGGTTTATTATAAGGTTTATTCCAGTATTTCCTATAAATATGTATTCGGTCATTCATTTACGATTAAGCAAAGATTAATCAAATAACTATCTCGCTAAACCCTAATCTCTTTCTCTCTCTCTCTCTCTCTCACTCTCTCTCTCTCTCACACACACACAAAGGCCTCACCCGTTCTTTCTTAAATCCCCAAATCCTTCACTCAAATCCCTAATTTCTATTCTTAATACCTAAACCCATTTCTATCTATCCGGTTACGTCAATCCTTAGAAATCCAAATAAGTGGGTTTCTAACAGTGGTATCAGAGCCATGGTCACGAATCTGAGTTCATCACAACTCTCAACCAAGGATAATTTCGATAAAGTTTTGCAAGATTGTTATCACCAGCTGAAAGCCCTCAATGACAAATATGGGGCGTGATGGCAGGTTAGCACCAGTAACCTAAACACAGCTGACGTCAATAAGCAGAAAGAGGACATGAACCAACTTTTGGCACAGTTGGCGTCATTCGATTGGGACGACGATGATGACTGGTGCGACGACAACTAAGATGACGATGTGGCGGCAGACGAGAAAGAATTCGTTGATGTGGAGGAATCAGATCCGACGGAGTTCTCGCCTCCAGTCACTACACCACCCACCACCGCTACGAAGGTCGAAAAAATAGTTGCTGCAGCGACTTCCTCTCCTACGACATCGCCACCATCGTTGTTGGTTGTTCCTCTAGCCGATGTCGCTGCTGATAACATCAAACAGCCGCAGCTGTTGGTGATCACCACCGAGCTGCCGAGAAAAGAAGTAACGACTCCACGCTCGGTAGTTGCTGCAACTTCTACAACGCAGGAGAATTCGGCAGAGGCGAACAAGGAAGAAGATCCGGGAGAGAGTCCGGATACGACAAGGGATTCCTTAAATCTCGTCCTTCCACCGCCGAGGAAACCGCTAGACGATTGCTATCGTTGACCATGAGCCTCGACACCGACGAAAGGGAAGAGGCGGAGAAGGGAGGCTGCGTCGGCATCGTTCAACGACGTAAAACAGAGCAGCTTCGTCGGGGTCCTTCGCCGGCAACATGAAGAGCTCCTGTGGCGCCGCATTCAACCCCAGCTCAAGCATGGGCAGTGATTGCCGGAAAGACACCTCTGAAGAAAGAGGTCGGCAAGGAGAAAAGGTCGAAGATGATGATGGGATCAGGCGGATCTCTTCGGCGTAGGATCTGGTTGTCGACGACGAACGCGAATCCTTTCAAGGCGAATCTCCACGTTGGTGAGGAAGGACGAGGCAAAATGGAGATGTCGTTGAGTCATCGATCTGGACTGCCGAAGCGACGAAGCGAGCAACTTGAGCGACGGGTTCCAACTGTTTCATTAGTCGTAGCGAGGTCGGAGGAGAAGCGCGGCGTCGGAATCCTCTGCTCGTCGCCAAAGAAGATGTCGCTAGCGGTGCGAATCGCGCAATTGCCGCGATCTTCTCCAACCCCAGTAGAGATGAGAAGCGTCGGGTCGGACCTTCCTCCTAGCCGCCTGATGACCTCGTCACGGGAGAGGATAATTTTACAAAGGGAGTAGCGATCCGCCGGCGTTGATTGTCGAAGAGAAGCAGAGGCGGAATTGGAGGCGTGGGCTGATGGCGAGCCTCAGTCGCCGTCGGAGGAATCGAGGGAATTGCAGATGACGGCAAACGGAGAGAAAGAAGAGAGCGGCGAGTTACCTCACGCATCACCAGAGATAGGAGTTTCGCAGAAGAACGAAACCATGAGGGGCGCCGGTGGAGAAGGAATTGACGAAGAAGGTCGGCGGCGGTACGCTGTTTTCGTGCGAGCAGCTGTCTCTCCTCCCCTTCAACGAAACCCTATAGAGCATCTTGATGCTCTAAAACACAACACCAATCTGCGACCAAGTGTAATCGCAAACCGGAAATGCAGTAAAGTAGCAAGTTATATTATCAACCCGGGGTCTAGATCTACTGCTTACTCAGTGATTCTCTGTTATCTAGCCAACTAAAGTAAGTGATTGTTGTTTAAACTAAAAGCAGAAATAAAGCAGGAATTGATACGGTTTTCTTAAGCAGGAAAGAGTCACTCGGGAATGAGTCCCCCTAGCTCCTTAGTTAGGTTCAATTGCAATTTCCCCTGGGTTGATTTATTGTTGATTAGACTGCGGAAGATCCGACAGTAGCTTGGAATCTCTTAAGCTGACCAAGCCCTCTCAGTCTAACTATCCGGCAGGCGACTAGTCTTCACCGGGATAGAAAGCTGAAGCAGTAAGAACAGAACTCCACTACTGGAATTAGATTCCAGTACAAAGTAGTAAACTGGCTAACTCTCGTATAGCCAATCTCCTACTATCGAATGATGAGACTCTAGCAACCTAATCAGATTCTATCTATCTCAGATTGCAGCAGGAATCAGGAAAAGTTGATCAGACTTCAATTGACTCAATAAACATGCATCATTCGATTAAAATCAAACAGTAATATCATCCCAAGTCATTACAATCAATCCCCTAACACATAGAACTAGGGTTCTTCATCCCCAAGTGAGAGAGAGGTTCTACTCCATAGAGAGAGAAGAAAACAGTAATCGGAGTAGTCATACTCATAATGATGAGGAAAATCTACTCCGGGATGATGATTTCCACTCCTAGGACGATCTCCAAGCTTGATTTGATGAAACCCAGCTCCAAGATGGCTTCTAGGGTGAGTTCTTCGCACTTTCTCTCTCTAGGGCTCTGTTTTTGCTCAAGAAATTCGATCTCCCTTTCCTTGGCTCGATTCTGGCTTCAAAAACCCGACTCTGGGCGAATTACGGGCTGAATTACGGCCATAATCACGTCCTGCCCGTAATTCGCCCCAAAACGCACGTTTCAATTAAGCTGAAGGAGGAGGAGATACGCCCGTAATTTCCCAATTACCGCCAGTAATTTTGGAATTACGATCGTAATTCTTGGGGGTCTTGCCCGTAATTTTAGCACCGAAAGGAAATTCTGGGGAAAAGGCTCGGCAATTGTTTTACGGGCATGCCCTGACCAATTACGGTCGTAATTTGGCAGGGGCTGCCCGTAATTCCTTCTGTGATTCGCCATCTGACCTCCAAATGACCTGAAACTTGCGCCTATGCACCTCTTTACTTGCTAGAACCTGAAATACGACAAAACAACACAACCTAGCGTAAAATAGGCCAAGGAACAATCAATTCGATCCAAAATGGACAGGAAACCCGAGTGAAAACACGTGCAAATACGATGCTATCAAATTCCCCCACACTTAACCGTTTGCTTGTCCCCAAGCAAACCAAGTCAGACACAAGGTAAGCTCACATATTTCAATCAACAAACATTGGGGACAAGTCATAAAGGCACAGAACACGTGAACAGTACTGGTTTTCAAACATCAATACATGACCAACTTCCCTAGCAACCTGGACAACCACCACAAAAGACATTCGAGTGCAGCAAAATCGAGTAAAGGAAGAGTCTCCCTTCTGTTCACCAACCAACCTAGACTTGACTCAACCACTTACTCAAAACAGTCAACTCATACATCCAACTCAAAACATCAGAATAGAGACCGAGCAATCTAGGTCCTCACCGGGGTACACGAGTATATAGCATATGAAAATGAATCGCTCACTCTCGACCAGTGGGGTCGGGACAATTTGATGCGAAAAATGCGCATGTTATTTCTCTCAATCCCTAACATCTCTTCACCATGATGGCAGCCTCTAAATGCTAGAGTTCACATATGGGGTGTCACCACTAACTAATCAGGAGGTCTTAGACACAGGTTCAAATGACTGGCTAGGGTCTTGGACATGGGGAAAAGGCCTTTTAGGTGGTGGAAGTATTCATAGCACAAGGTTCCACATTTCCAAACCCAAACAATCACAGTCAAACTAACCGGTATTTCCTTTCTGCTATTCTGCAATACTCAACATCTCAAGAGCACAAGAGCGAAGGAGGCATAAACATCAGCATTTCCAAGCCAGACTGCTAAGAAACACTACTTACTGGGCGTTATTCAGATTTTTGGTAGTGGCTCTCTTTTGCTTTCAATTTTTCTTTGTTTTTCTTTCATTTATCTTTTCATTTCTTAAGAGAGCCACCACTTCTGCACATATTTCAAACATCTGCCCAACTTTCAAGCACTGCCTCCAACACTCACATAAACTTTAGCAGAAACAGGAGAGGATATGTAACAACCACTCTGTGGAACCTTCTAAAAGATGCAACAAGGGTGATTTTTTCCGTTATGGACCAAAAGAAAGGATAACACACGGCTCAAAGGGGCTGACTAGGGGATATGACACATCAGGACAGTCAGTTTTGGGCGTGGGCTAATCCTATGCCCCCATCATCTTAGCTAATGACAACGTGAATGCTACACATCATGGAAGAGGGATCTATCGCACAAGAAAGAAACGAGCAGGCTCAAATCTCACATGGCTACCTATATGCTCTATCTCACATTCTGATACCCTGAACTAAATGCATAAACGACTGTCAAGACAAGTGATCAGATCAAGTCACAGTTGGTAAGCAAACAGTTGAAAAAATGAACCCCTACATCGTTCTACTGCACATCTCAGCCCTCATCATAGGTTGTCCTAGTCACCAACAAGTTTTCATGCATTAATCCGAAAACCGTTCAATTCATCAATCAAAACACAGTGCCAATATGATCAAACAGCCGTACTTGGAGCCCTCAAATCGTAAGATTCGGACAGCGGACTAGGCTCCAAGCACCCATATATACGTACCAATAAATACAAAGAACCCCCCACACTTAAATGCGACAGTGTCCTCAATGGAGCCGAGGGAAGGGGAACAATGTTACCGTGAAACAGTGGTCAGGAACGTTGACTGGATGGCGGACCAGTCAAAAGCAGAGGACTGGACAAGGACCAGTCCGACGGGCACAGAGCTAGAACCAACAGAACACACACATTGGGTGAAATAAAACATAGTTCCAAGTCAACAATCCACACAATACGGAACAAGAAATAAAAACCAAACACAATACGGAGTCTAAGTCTGGAAAGATAGACAAAAGCCAAGCCCCAACTCGATGGGCTGGCAAAACCAGATCAGTAATCATCCCCTCCATCGCCGGTCGGGGCGGGTAGTGGTCCTCATGCCCCGGGGACGCCTCCCAAGGGTAGCTAATAGCAGCAGGATCCATGTCCCAGTAGCTCATCATGTAATGTTGAGCTGAGATGATGTGGCGGCGACCTTCGCGCTCACGGTCGAGGCGGGCGTTGAGGTGCTCCTGGCCAAGAAGGATCTGCTCATTCTGGCGGGAAAGGGCCGCCAGCTGCTCGGCAATGAAAGTGGTGGGTGCGGCAACAGATGGGCCAGCAGCAGAGGTGGAGGCGCCAGGCGCAGAAGGAGTGTTCCGCCGACGACGATTGGCCCGACTGGCCGCAGCAGCACTCGCCTCGGGTAGTTCCTCACCCTCTGGTGCACGAGGAACAGGGCGAGGAAGGCCCCGGATCTAGGTCACGTCCCCCTCGCGCTCTAATATCAGCTGGCGCCGTAGGGTGTCCCTGGAGAAGGGCTTCGCCTCCTGTATGAGAGTGAACCTGGAGAGGTCGATGTTGTAGTACCGTGCCAGGGCAGTGACCAGCGGCCCACACGCCAGGGGTCGACCACACCGAGAAGCCCTGACGACAGTCCTGGCGATGAGGGAGGACATATGGAGGTTGTCTACCTCGTGGCTCATGGAGTGCAGGCAATGCAAGGTGCGGAGCTGAAGATGACTGGTGGAGCCCTCGCCGGGGGTGTAAGACTTCCCCAACAGCTGGTTGATGATGCGCCACTCTGGGCGCAGCTGAGTGGCAATGGTGTGGCCCGGTGTGAAAACAGCGCCTGAGAACTCCGGGAGGCAGATCCTCTCGAAGAACTGCTGGTCCCGAAAGATGGGACTGTCAGGCTCTTCGATCTCCAGGTGACAGGCGAAAGGTGGAAGGAGCCCCAGTGCCCGACCAAAGTCATCATAGCTCAGGGAGTAAAACTCCCCTCCGAGTCGGAACTGGATGGCGTTGCCGTGTGAGCCCGCGTGGGTCCGGAAATGCTCGAAGGTAGAGTAGAACTCCCAGAGGAGCTCTTGATAGATCGGCTCAGCGAGGCAGAGGAGGCGGCGCCAAGAGTAAGCGCGGATGGCAGCCTCCATTGCCTCGCGAGCACCCAGCTCCTCGAAAACCCTCCAATCGAGGTAATGGTGCTTAACAACTTTGCGGCGTCGGATGTCCTTCGGAGTCTTCCTCTGGTCGGCGTCGAGCAGGGCCAAGTGAGTGTTCATCTTCCTGCAGCCACAAAATAGCAGAAACCCAACAACATATATGGAAATTCTTCAATGGGGAGGTCACAATCATCCTCACCCGGGGGCCCTCGAATCATAAGTTCGGACAGTGGACTAGGCCCCAGGAAGGGAAAAACATTCACAATCAATCAGAACCATTCACCATTCACACAAACTCAAACGCACTTGGAGTCCTCGGATCATACATCCGGATAGCAAATTAGGCTCCAAGCGGGGCAACCACAACTCATATATACTCGGTAGGCCAACC